TATTTATCTGGATTTATTTATTTGTTATATTGAGAAAAGTAAAACCAGCAGAGGTTCAAAAATCACATAGAGTTCTCTACAGAAATATTTTTCATATAATATGGATGTGAGATATGTCTCACCATATCAATGTATTTGTCAGAATGAATTTATATGAAAACATTTGCTTTCAAATTCGAAATCATTATGAGAACTGACGTAGTTACATTAATAAAAGTCAATTATATAAATATAAAACGTAATATCACCTTCTCCTTCTTGTAGGCTATTTGTGTCTCCATAAGCTTCTGGAACCAACTTGGCATAATGATATTTTTCTTTTTTATCAAAAGAGGCAACATCAAAATAAACAGAACCATTGGCATTATATGCCAGACCATTTTCGATGATTTTTTCAATATAAATAATTATTTCGGGAATGTATTCACTGACTCTAGTCAAAACATTAGGTCTGAGTACCTGGAAATATAATAAAAGTAATATGATAAAATAAACAGTTAACAGAAACTACAAACTGGTTAGTCATGATGTTTGAAAATATTTTGCAAATAAGTCTGTCTAGCTGCCCACAAACATGAAGTGCAAGTAATACATAACCCGTCAAAACTTCTTGTTTCACTCAATTGAGTCTCTTCTATAATTATTTCTCTCTATGAATATGTTCGTGAAAAACTCAAAGTGATAAATTTTGCATATTATAAAAACAAACTGAATCTTCGAATTGATTTACAGAAACAATGAATTGTTAAAGATTCATTGAAGTACTCATCGATGAGCAGGTGAATTTTGAAAGCTCACTGCACTTATAGTCTTAATGCTGCTTCACATTTACACATTTTTCTTCATGCAACACGCAATCTTGCATCCACGGAGAAAAGCATTTTTTTTTCTAAATGAAAAGTCATTGATATAGCAGATCATCTCTCATTGAAAATACTACACATTCATACGTTACCAAAAAAAACTAATTCAGATATCAACACTATGACTCTAGTTGAATAAACAAGAGAAGAAACAATTATAAACACATAATGTTATTTACTTGAATTAATATGAATTTAGATTTTTTTCTCAATGTTATCCTTCAATCTATAAGCATTCTGAATACTTTTGAATAATGTATTGAAAATATATTTACATTCAAAGCATCCATATCTTTATGGAAAGCGTCTTCCCAATACCTTGGAAGCACGCTGAATATTGCATTATCTGTAACAGTAGAGCCATATTGATGATCCAGCCATTCTGATAATTTATCTTTGGATTCTTTAATGAATTTTTGTTTTAGTTCTTCCACTCTCGATGTATCCCCACTTTTAATGGCTTGTTCTAGTTCCTCTACAGATTTGGCAAGCCTTGAAATGAATAAAGAAGTCATAAAGAATGAAACAATCATAAGTAATGTAATCATATATGTCATACATATTTCAGTGTGTTTAAATAGGAGTAAATAAAACAATAAGTGAATAGTCATATCATTGAAATAATGAACAAAAGTAATTATTTATGGAGGAAATCAGAGTTTTTTTATTACCTATTTATTCACCTTCAGCAATCTGAAAAAAATTAAAAAAATTATTTTGTTTCAGGTTGTGGAAAGTGAAATTCTTCAGAAAGATCAATAAAAAACTCTCATTGAAAAAGGTAATATAATTGAAAATAAAGAGTAATATTGTATGTTAATGAAACTTGATCAATATTATAAAGTGTACAACATACCTTCCTAAGNATTTTTAAGTATAATACTCATTCAAAGTTCCTAGCTAAATCAATATAATTAATGATAAAAGCAGTGTTCTAATAAGTATTTTTGTGACAGATTTGAAATTTTTTAAATTTCAAAATTTTCTTGGAGTGGAGAATATTATATAGATTCAGATTTAACGTGTTTCTGCGGCTTAGAGCTAGCTTGTCAAGGAGTATTGAACAAATCAGCTGATCTAGTATTGTCAGAGTTTTGAGTAATGTATAGATACTTTCACGGGAGGTAGCATTCATAACTGACCAGCAAGGTCACCTGATTTAAAATTGTTAACTGTTTCACAACAATAACTCCGGACAAGTTGAGTGACGTTAGATCATTTGAAAAAAAGGTCAGAATGTGTGGAAAATGACGATCATTTTGAACATTTATTATATTTTTGTTAATTAACCTTTGAGCGTTAAGTAACAAATAATATCTTTAGTTATTCGCAAACTTATATTTTTTTAAAGGTGAATTTGATAACGAAAGATTTAATGGTGAAGTTACAGTAAGACTATTCATAAAAAAACCGATTACCAATTGGACAATATTCGATACGCAAAGGTTTACCTTTGTTGAAGTAGCGCAAATTTACAAGTAAAATGCTTATTTACTTGAAAACTTTAGACAGGTGCTTCTCCTTGATTATTAACCATAGTTGGTTTTCTGCTTTTTCCAAAGTAAATTTTTTATGAATAAATGTTAAACCAATCACTAACTTACCTTGCATGTCCCATGTGCGAGGCATCATAAACAGTAGGACCACAACTATACCAGTTCACTCTTTTACCAGAGGCAGGTATGAACTCTTCTTTTCTTCTGGTTAAACTGTTGAAAAGTTTTAAAACAGGTCGATTTGAATTTCTTGGAGGGGACCAAATAGGCTGTACTCTTTTAGACATCTCGAATCTAATAAAAGTATTTTCTGTTTTTTCGGCAATCTCTGTCTTACTTTAATATACCAGTGGTCCAGAATCCAGATGGTTATTGAACTACTATGAGTCACTGACACGTTGTGTGTTATAATAAATGATTAGTAAACTACTCTTTGATCACACGTTACACCTGAATAATATCTAATTTATAGGAGCAGGACAAGCAATACTCTGATTGAGCACCATAAAAAAAGTTATTGTAAACCTATAACCTAAAATAGGCCTGAATTC